ACAAAAGTAATAAATTGCAGATTCACCGAACCAACAGAAATTCAACGACTTGTCATTCCGAGCGCTGTCAGGGATCGGCTTGATATCATTGGATGCGCAGAAACGGTTAAATTTTGATTCTTTCACGGAAATATTTAAAATTCCAAAATTTTAAATTATTTTAAAAATAGTTATAAATTGAGGTGTGGAATTTACACTCGAAATGAATTGGAATAAAGTGCGGCACTTTTTCCTTGTTTTTTTCTCAGATTTATAAAAACTTGAGTTTTGCAGTAAAACATTTTGCGGGTTTTTATAAGTAATGGATAATTTTTAGGGAAGTGGGAAAACACTGGCATTTGCTGTACCCATAATCGAGTACCTCTTGGCTGCCAAACGATCGTCCATGGACGGCAACGAGCAGCAGCGGACTATTCGAGCGCTCATTCTTGCTCCAACACGCGAACTTGTAGTGCAGATCAAAAAGCACATCCATGCCTTGCTGAAATATACCCCGTTCAAGGTATTTTTTTTTTTTGCACAATTTGGCTTCTGTTTCGTCCTACTATACTTTCCTGCCGCCTTTACGCCTGGCAGTCTTGCCATGGTCCCAGCCCCTGATGTTCATTTTGCTGTCTTCCTTGTGCTCATTGCTCTGCTTTCCGTCTTCGTTCTTCCTAGAAGAATGCTAGAATTTGTTATTTTCGTGCTTATTGTGGCCTTGCTAGCAATTTTCTTCGAATCACTGCAGATACTTCACAGCAAGCGTCACCCGCAATAGAAATTGTGTTAAAGCTCATTTATTTATTCAAATGTATCGATTTTTCAACAACTCCCGGCTTTAGCTGTAGGGACAGCCAGAGTTTCACGTTATGCTGCTCACGTGGACTTTCAGGGTGATTGTTTTTGTTGAAAAATTGTGCTCTTTTCAGCTTTTACCTAATTTTTTTTGTCCTTGCATAATTTATGACACTTGTAATGTACAGTCCTGGTGATTTGAAGGTTGCTTCAATAGTTGGTGGTCTCTCACTGCAAAAACAGGAGCGCATCTTGAAATATGTTCCTGAAATTGTTGTTGCAACTCCTGGACGATTATTGGCTTTGATGTCGTCGGCCGAATCTATCAAATGTCTCTCCAGCTGGTCTGAGCTACAGTGTTTGGTAGTGGATGAGACGGATCGGATGATTGAAAAAGGCCATTTCGAA